AAGTCATTGGTCTTGCAAAATTCTCCCATGAGAGTTCCAGCATTATTTCTGTCACCAAGGCCAAATTTTCCAACTACTGGTGATTCTTCTTTGTTTCCAATTTTTGCATTCCAGTCACCAGTGATAATTCACACATCTTGATTGCAAGTTTGGTCAATTTCAGACTGCAGAAGTTGATAAAAATCTTCAATTTCTTCATCTTTGGCTTTGGTTGTTGGTGCATAAATTTGAATAATAGTCATATTAATGGGTTTTCCTTGTAGGCGTATGGATGTTATCCTATCACTGACAGCATTGTACTTCAGAACAGATCTTGAAACATCCTTTGTGATGATGAATGCCATACCATTCCTCTTTAAACTGTTATTCCCGGCATAGTAGATCATAGTGTTGTCTGATTCAGAATGGCCCAAATCAGTCCATTTCAGTTCAGTAATGCCTAGGATATAAGTCTTTATGCGTTCCATTTCATTTTTGACAACTTCCAATTTTCCTAGATTTATACTTCGTACGTTCCATGTTCCAATTATTAATGGATGTTTGCCACTGTTCTCCTCAATTTGAGTGGTGCCACGTCAGCAAATGAAAGTCTCTAAAGCTTTACCTTATCCATATAAGTAAGGCTGATTTTACTCTGATAATGCAGCTCTTTCCCAGTCCTACTTTGAGAGCTTTCTAAGCTAAATGACTCATCTTCCTCCTCTGTATTGGACAGTATTTCTGGACTATTCATAAATTTGTGCAGTAATGTATCAGACAGTGTTTCTCTGCTATTCATAAGGTTTTCCCTGGGCAATTATTTGAGAAGTGGATGGCCTCCTCCTTCTTCCTAGTCTATCTCAGTCTGCAATCTGGGCTGATAACTGTGCAACAGGTACACCCCACTGGGTTTGAAACACCAGTGACGTAGCCTCAAGACTCAGAGCAGCACGTCACCACAGTAGGACAAACCGACAGACAAGTTTGTCCGCTGTAGGACAGAGCAGACTGCCATATCCTTCTCCCACTGGTGGGTGGTGGGTTTAAACTGCTGACTTTTCAGTACGCACCTGAGCACTTTAACCACCGAGTCACTGGGCTCCTTCATTGGTACATTACTAACTAAAATCAGCACTTCCTTTGGATTTCAGCAGTTTTCCCGTGTCCTCTCTCTGTTCCAGGATCCCGTGCATGATACCACATCAGATCAAGTTGTCATCTCTTTCGTCTGCTCTGGTCTGTGACAGTTTCTCAGACTTGCCCTCTCCTTGATGACCTTGACGGTTTTGAGAAGCACTGGTCAGGTGTCATGTAGAATGTCCTTCATTTGATATTGCCTGATATTTTACTCATGTCTAGACTGAGGTCTTTTTTTTTTTTTTTTTCCTTTGGCAGGGAGACCACAGAGGTAAAATGCCATTCTCATCACATCCATATCAAGGATACATGCTATCAACATGTCTTATCACAGATGATGTTTAAGTTTTATCATTTGGCTGAGGTAGTGTTAGCCAGGTGTCTCCACTAGAAAACCACTTCTGCTCCACTTTCCATACTTTTCTTTTTGAAGCAAGTCACTAAGCTTGCAGCTGTGGGCTGTGTGTGGGACAAGCTTCCTCTCCAGCAGCGGGGAGTATCAGTGTAAATTCTGTGGAATTTTTCTGTAAGGGACATTTGTCTCTGCTCCTTTAATCATTTGCTCAGTTGCTTTCCTGTGGACCTCTCTGGCTGGCTGCCTCTCTGACTATTCTGTCTGTCCATCCATCCAGTCATTTATTTGTATTGGTATAAAGTCATACTTATTTTATATTTTAGGTTATAATCCAGCACTGCATTTTTTATTTTGTTGCTCCAATTGTTTCATCTGCGCCCTTTGTGAGCCCTTTCATGTTGGCTCCTCTGTCTCGTGGACACATTCCCACCTTATTTATTTATTTTTTTTAACATTTTCTTGCTTTCTGGCACTACAGGCTGCTCTGTGTTCATCTTGTATATTCTGTGCCCTGTTGTAGACTCAACCATTCTCCAAAGAGCCTTGTTTCCTGTGATTTGGAGAGTAGTACCAAACTACAAACTGGGTCCTGGATGTGCCATCATTCCTGGAGTGCCACTGTTTCTGGGCCCTCTTAACAGCCAGAGCTAGGAAATAGAAATGTTTATTAACCCATGTATATACCAAAAACCCACCAGCCACTCCTCGGAAGGAAGGTTGGGCAATCCTACTTCCGTAGTGATACTGCCTCGGAAACCCAAGGAGGGTTCGCTATGATTCGGGGCCGACTTGACAGCACACAACAACAACAACAACAACAACATATACCAAAAAACAAAAATAAAACCGTACTGCCATGCAGTTGATTCCAATTCATAGTGACCTCCATTTGGGCTTCTGAGGCTGTAAATCTTTGCGGAAGTAGATCACCCCATCTTCCTTCTGCAGAGCAGCTGGTGGGTTTGAACCACTGACCTTTTGGTTATCAGTCCAGCGCCTTAGCACTATGCCACCAGAGGTCTTTATATACACATATCTCTAATTATGTCTGCCTATCCATGTTTGGTAGCTCTGGTGGTGTAGTGTTTAAGGCATTTGACTGTTAACTAGAAGCATGGCAGTTCAAACCCAAGGAGGGGCTGCTGTGATAGTGAGTTTTGTTTTGTTTTTTTGATCCATGTTTATCTATATTAAACTAAATATGAGTTGATATTGAAATAACCTCTGACTGTAATTCAAGCTAGCCTCTTTAAAACTGGCCCCCATCATCCCCCATCCCTATTATGATATATTTTAAGCATTAATTTTTTTTTTTTTTAAATTAGGGTTGTCATGAGTTGGAATCAATTGACAGTAATGAGTTACTTAGTTTAGTCTTCCTCACAAGGCTGTTAGTATATTAAGTACTTATTAAATCTTCACTGATGATTCTTGGAGTTATGTTATATCTTACAGAAAAAAACTAGCATTTTAGCAAAGTCATTTTAAGCATATTGTAAAGTTGGAAACGGGAGCTCTGGTAGCATAGTGCCTAAGGCACTTGACTGCTAACCAGAAGGCTGGCAGTTCAAACCCACCAACCACTCCTCAGAAGGAGGATTGGGCAATCTACTTCCATAGTGATACCGCCTAGGAAGCCCAAGGAGGGGTCGCTGTGAGTCGGGTCCGACTTGACGGCACATAACAACAACAACAGCAACAAAGTTGGAAATAAAGCTATTTTGATGCCTTTATTATATAAGTCATATGTTCAGCATAGAAAATTTAGAAAATGAAAAGGAAAAAATCACTTCCAATTCTATCTCCTGGAGATAAAGCTGTAGTATTTTAGTGTATATCCTTTTATAGCTTTCTCTTTATATGTATGTGTCTCTATATACAATTTTGTACAAGAATACAGTCACACTGCACACTGCTGATTTATAACCTTTACCCCACATAATGTAACTGGCAATCCATGCAATTATACTGTAATTTATTTAGCCAATTCTCATTGTTAAGATTGTTCAAGTTATAACTACTTTTTAATTATTATAAACCCTAGTGAATATCTTCTTAAAAGTCTTGGCCCACTGTTCTCATTGTTGTTATGTGCCCTCGAGTCGGCCCTGACTCATAGCGACCCCTCCTTGGGTTTCTGAGGCAGTATCACTACAGAAGTAGGATTGCCCAACCTTCCTTCCGAGGAGTGGCTGGTGGGTTTGAACCGCCAGCCTTCTGATTAGCAGTCAAGTGCTTTAGCCACTATGCTACCAGAGCTCATAGTTTCCTTTAAATATATTCCTAAAAGTCTAATTGCTGATTTTGAGCTTTTTGATACATGTTTTTTGGAGGTAAGCATTTAAAAAATTATATTATGGTGAAATATATAGAAAAAAAATGTCACTTCAGTTATTTTAAGTGTACAATTTAGTGATGTTAATTACATTTACCATCTTTGTGTTACCATCACATTTCTGAAAGTTTACATCCCCTCAAACAGAAGCTCAGTGCCCCTTCAACAGTAACTCTTATTTTTTCCTCCCTCTGGTAGCATAGTGCCTAAGGCACTTGACTGCTAACCAGAAGGCTGGTGGTTCAAACCCACCAGCCACTCCTTGGAAGAGAGGCTGGGCAATCAATCTACTTCCGTAGCGATACCGCCTCGAAACCCAAGGAGGGGTCACTATGAGTCAGTCCGACTCAGCAGCACATAACAACAACATCTCCACTAATAGACTTTTGTCTCAGTGACTTTTCCTGTTTTAGATATCTCATAGGAACTCTGGTGGCATAGTGCCTAAGGCATTTAACTGCTAGCCAGAAGGCTGGTGGTTCAAACCTACCAGACACTCTTTGGAAGGAAGACTGGGCAATCTACTACCGTAGAGATACCGCCTCAGAAACCCAGGGATGGCTCGCTATGAGTCAGGATCGCCTCCATAGCAGTGAGTTTGGTTTGGTTTGGTTTGGTTTGGTTAGATATCTCATAGTGGGATCCTACACTGTTTGACCTTTGGTATCTGACTTACTTCACTCAGCCTAATGTTTTCAGTATTCATCCATGGGGTGGCATGTACCACAACTTCATTTCTCCTTATTAGAACTTGACTTCTCTATATGGCTGATTAATATACCACGTTTTATCTATTGATGCGTTTATGGACTCTTGAATTATTTTCACCAACTGTCGGCTATTGTGAATAAAGCTACAGTGAACACTGGTGTCCACATATCTTTCTGAGTCTTTGCATTTAGGTCTCTTGGGTATATACTTTGGGGGCGGGGTTTTTAGCTGGAGCATTTGCTTCTGCTTGAAGGCTTGCATCCCTCTTTTGGGACTGTGAATAAATAGTGTATCTTTAAACCTAGGAACTCACATCAGTTCATCCTGATTTATTTACCTGCATAGAGCATTGTGTCAAAGAACGCACTGCAGTATCGGGGCAATTCCCAGCACGATGCGCAGGAGTTTCTGCTGTGGCTTTTGGATCGAGTTCACGAAGACCTCAATCATTCCGTGAAGCAGAGTGGCCAGCCTCCTCTGAAGGTGAGGGGGCACTTCGCTGGGCAGTCAGGGAGCAGCAAGCAGGTGCTGGGGCTGTTCCAGGAGGGTGTAGCTCCTCCTCCCCAACAACCAGGCGGTGTTGCAGTGCACACTTAGTGAAATTACTAGGATGAAGTGGGCTGAGCTTTGGGTAAGTGCAAAGGTTAATGGCTGCTTAAAGGCTATTATACTTGTGTGCTGCTGTCCTGTGTGGTGTAAACATCAAGCACTCACCTGGTGGCCAAAAGGTTGGCAGCTCGAACCCTCGCAAAAGTGCCTCAGGAGAGAGGTTGGGCAATCTGCTTCCTAAAAGTCACGGCCTGAAACACTCTGTGGAGCAGCTCACTCTGCACACATGGTGACCCACCATGAGTCGGAGGTGACTTGACAGCAGCTGACAGCAACAACTACTGCTGTGCTGGCCGTGTAAGGGCCAGAGACCCTGTCCCCGAGGGGTTTACAGTCTCATGAGGGCTGGCCGTGTAAGGGCCAGAGACCCTGTCTCCGAGGGGTTTACAGTCTCATGAGGGCTGGCCGTGTAAG